ATGGAGTATGTCTTATTCTAGTTAGGATCCCAGTCTTATGGCTGTACATGAGGAAATCCATATGTAGCAGAATGAAATTTAACTCCCATCTCTTACTGTGTAAAAAAACTCAAAGTGGATCAAAGACCTAGTCATTAGACCAGAGACTCTGTGTCTTTTCTTTAAAAATAAACATTTTATGTATTACTCTTTTGAGTTGATTATAAGCCCCTTGTCTCCTTAAGCTGATACACATACACACACACACACACACACACACACACACACACACATATTGCACATATTACAACACTGACTATTTTTCTCAACAGCAGTGAAGAATAATTACTCTCTTGAAAAGGATAATTCAATTTCATAATACTATTTTAAAAATAAAAATAAATAGTATATTATAGAAAGGTTAGACCCTACATGACCTAGATTATTTATTCAGTGTCAAATAGTCTTCACAGACTTGCAGGAGCAAAAAGCAAAAACTTGGGGAAGCAGGGTAGTGGGAGGCATTGCTCGAGGGGCACAGAGTCTGTTGGTGGAGACAGAAGCCTCTGAAAAGAGACAGTGGTGACTGCATAACAATTTCATGTACTTGATGCCACTAACTGTACGTGGTTTTACTGATAAAATTTGTATCTTTATTTTGGCACAAAAAATATTTTATCAGGCCAGGAGTTGTGTCACATGTCTGTAATCTCAGCAGCTGGGGAGGCTGAGACAGGAGGATCACAATTTCAAAGACAGCCTCAAAAACAGTAAGGTGCTAAGCAACTCAGTGAGACCCTGTCTCTAAATAAAATACAAAATGAGGCTGTAGCTCAGTGGTGAAGTGCCCCTGAGTTCTATCCCCAATACCAAAAAAACAAAAACAAAAAATCTCAACAAATTTCAAAAAAGACATTTGTTCAATCAAAAATAATAATAAACTTGAGAGTTTATGATAAAGTGCAAACATTTATGACAATACTAGAGCCAAAAAAAGAAATGAATGTGTCCTGTTTGAAGGTTTTTATGGGCTGTGCATGAGGTGGCACAGGAACACGTGAAGATACCGAACAGTGAGGTTTGTGCCCTTGCCCTTTCCCAAATGGTCTGCTTGGTGATGTGCTTGTTCAGTGTCAGACAGATCCATGTTCTAAGTGCAGCAGTGATCTGAAGTGAGACAGATTTGGGGGAAACTGGTGAAGCCCAAATAAATAGGCCAGTTTTTTTAAAAAAAAAGGATGATAAAGAAATCATCCAAAAGGCAGGAAAGAAAAGGAGGGATGAAGAACAAATGGTACAGGAGATACAGTGTGGCATGTTTAAGCTCAAACATAACAACCACAGTAAGTGTGGACAGTCTAAAATTGAACCTAAACTTAAAAAAAAGTTATTTTCCAGGTATTTCCAAATCTTAAATATAATTAAGTTTCTGAATTTTTCCATATTTTTCGGAATTCATTTTAGTACACATATAGGTGTATGTGTGTGTATGTGTATTCGTTTATATATTGCTATAATTATAGACAGATGTTTAAAACTATAGTAATAAATAGATATAGATGTTTATATAAATGAAGATAATAACATTTTATGTTAATTAAATAAAAGAGGAGAATATTAGAAATATTTTCCTACTTGGATGATTTATTTTTTTGTTAATTCATTAGCATAAAATGTGACATACACACAGATAATCTAAAATTTTTTGTACACATATAGTCATTCCCCAGTATCTACAGCAGATTAGTTCCAAGAATCCCCAAAATACCAAACTCTAAGGATATTCAAGTCCTTTATATAAAATTTTGTACTGTTTGCATATAATTTATGCATACTATACCAGGTTTTTTATAGATTAATAGATCACTTATAATCCCTAATAAAATGTAAATGCTACATCAATTTATTGTTTATGTAATAATGACAAGAAAAACATTCTGTAAATATTTAATACTTACGCAATTTAAAATTTATGATCTGTGGTTGGTTGGCACCAACAGATATGAAGCCTAGATTGAATTTGGCTATTTAAAGTAGCCGATATAAAACTTTAAATTCTTTTCTCACATAAAACTACAAATAAACGGAGAAATTAAGTAGAAAATCACCATCAAATTTAATGGATTTTCAAAAGGATATTGATAAATCCATAAAGTACAAAATAATTAGCTATCTAGCAACTTGGAATTATTAATAATAAAAATTTTTAAGAATGTTGGGAAGTATTAGCTTTAAAACATGATGGGTTTAATAATATTGGTATCTTACAAGCTAATTTTAATAAGTGCAAAATAAAGTTGTTAATATGAATCTGAAATCAATTTTGAATTCTCTAATTAAAATAAACAGTATATATTCAAATAATCTGATTTTTAAAAATTATGACAGAATAATATACCTCATTTCAAATTTTGGGCATATATCCTAAATTATAATTTAATTTAGTATTATTTTGAGTTACAAAAGGAGTATTTTTCCTATAAAGTTATTATCATAGTTTTGTGTTATTAACTCAATATATTTATTTTCTTTCCTAAAAAAGACAGCTCACTATAAATAATGACATTATAACTTTTCCCCCCAGATAAAGAATAAAAATGACAAAATTCCAAGATTTCTTAGAAATGTTGACCCTTATTCCTGTAATCTTAAGAGTATTCTACAATCTTCCTATCAGTCTATCAAGTTTAAATATATGAATGCAAATTTCCAATATAGAAAAACTATTATACCTATGTGCAGGTATCTTTCGGTTCCCAACAATCAGGATAACGTCACAGAGTTGCTGCTGCTTCAAGTAACTCTCCATCTTTCTGAAGGTTTGCTCAGCATGGTGAACTGCTTGATAGAATTCTTCAGAGCTACTAGAATCCAAATCACTTTGAGGTGTCAGTGAATGACTGGTTGATGAGACCCTGTAAATCACAGACACACAGGATTGTGTTTATACAAAGTACTACCAATTATCAAGCATGATATGTAGATTCTTTCTAGAAAGTTTTAGAGAAAAAAAAAACCAGCTGAACCTATTTTCAAGATATTTTATGCAAATCCAATGAAACAAGTCTGAAAAATCTAATTTGAGTCAAACAATTTGAAGGGGGATGCAATGAATGAATTGAAATTTTTCTGTTTTGTTAAAAAAAGACTTTAAAGTAGACTTTCTGTATTTATTAACATATTAATTTAGTAAATCTGAAACATCATACAAATAAATTGTTAATGTTTATTCTAAAATCAATTAACAAGGAAATATTAAAACATGTCACAGAAAATGTGTTGTATTTACACAATGGAATCCTATTCACTCATAATAAAAAATAAAATCCTGTAATTTGAGCGCAGGAATGAACTTGAAGGACATAATGTTTAGTGTATAGAGCATTATTTCTTCCAAAACATATTAGCCAAAATCTGAGGCACAATATTAGCAGCCAAAGACAGAAATATATGTAAAAAGGTTAATGAATCACAACTAACTGTGATTAATTAAAATACACATTCTTTCACATAAAGCTATCTAACACATTTATTTTGCAAACATTATACTTGATTGAAACTTTTCTTTTCTTGAGATTCCGAATGAGATACATTAACACTACTCTTATGTCACAATTTTTAAAGGTTCTTCTCAGTATGAAGTAAACAAACAAAATTGAACCCATAATTGCCAGATAAAAAAGTGTATTATTGGTATTTCCAAAAAATGTGTTTGCAAACAAAGAGAATCCAAAAGAATCTACTAAGAATCTTACAAAACTAAATTCATTAAAATTATATCTACAAATTTGTCTATGCAATATGGTTATTTTCATCACACCTTACAAATTTTCCTTTAACTATTTAAAACTAATACAACTTTTTGCTACCTCATATCTTTGTCTTTCACAAGTTTGCAAATTACAACCCCAGAATATGGTCATTCCTCAGCACATATTTTGTGAATCAGGTTCAGGCACAGGTGGCAAGAACATAGAATTCATGCGCACATTAACAGATTAAACAGAAAATCACAAAATATCTGCAAGATATTTTTTTAATATTTATTTTTTAGTTTTAGGTGGACACAATATCTTTATTTTTTAATTTTTCTTTTTAATGTGGTACTTAGGATCAAACCCAGTGCCTCATGCATGCTAGGCGAAAACTCTACCACTGAGCCACACCCCATCACTGCAAGGTATATTTTTAAGTCTAGAATAAACATTTTATCTCTCAGGTACATAAGGAAAATGGAGTCAGGTAGGTTGCCAAAAGAGATTTTAAAAAAAAAGCCCCCAAAGATACCCAGAATTTTCTGATATTGTTCCCAGAATGCATGAATAGGGTCTAAAATTTAAGATAGTAGAGACAGTCTAGCAGAATGACTCCAAATTATTTTTACTCAGGACTTGGAACAAAGGTTACATCCAGATCCTGGATATAATCCATTCTATTTGTTACTCAGAAATTAAATGAAGTAACATAAGGCAGAAAGTTATATACTTTACTAAATAGTTCAGAGATGTTAGCAAGAAAATAATCTACCATGCTTATCTTTAAGTCATCCAAGATGTGGTGGATGAAATATTAAGACAATTTCTGAAAAGAAATAGAATCTGACAATCTTAGAACTTAATGAGACTCTAGAAATATAAGAGTATAATATTTGGTAGGATTTATTCAGAGTAAAAAGTTTAATTACTGTCAAGATAGAAACTTCTCTTATCTAATCTAAATACATTTGAGCCTTTTCTAAAATTTTTTTGAAAGTAATTTAAAAGAATAAGTATTAAAAATTGGAGCACTATAAAGTAGACTCCAAAACTTTTTTTTTTCTGAATTCAAGTACTTTCCTAGACTTTTTTTTCCTTAAAGTTCTCTTGTTTTGAGCCTGTCCATATTATATCTGAGAATAAGTCACTTTCTTCAAGGTCAACCAATCTGTTATATAAATGGTTATATTGGTTTTGACTTGATTTTCTTTTGAACATTTCCTCATAAATCATTTCCTGATCCCAAACTTGGGTAAGATTCATTTTCATTGACATTTGTTTCAAGATGGGAATGATTTTTAATTTAAGCTTTACTATTTAACTTAATTCTCTCACATATCCAGTCTTATTTATTTAACAAATAAGACCTACAAAGTTTAAAATATACAAAAATGTTTTGAACACTGTTTAATATTTGTAGTAATAGCAATTTAATGATTTCCTGTAGTATTAAATTAAATGACAAAATAAATTTGCAAGTAGTTTTTTATTTCCTTTGAGAGATAAGAATTAGATTTTGTTTAAAAATATATTAAAAAACATTTATGTAATATCAAAGAAAGAAATTGCCCATATTTATACAGTTCTAGGAAAGGAACTAACTATAGTGAAATATGGGTAGACTGGAGTGAAAAATCCTGATTTAGTGAAGTAATTTAGTATTTCAGTTAATGTATGTCTTTTCAGAATGCCTTGTTTAAAAATGCTTAAATATTTTATGTGAGGCACATATTTTAATACAAACCATAAATTCATCATTACAAAAATATTAAAGTTCAAAAACTGATCAAAAATAAAGAGAAAAAAAGAAATTTAAATAGATAAATGAATAAGCCACTTTTCAGTAAAACATTAAATAATAAAAACATCACTTTACATATCAGTATCATAGCACAAACAATGTTCAAAATAAATGCTTAGTTATGCTAAGCACACTAATTATCAATTCTTTTAATAACACCCAAGAGAGATTTAGATACTAGATATATGATAATAGATAAAGTTTAAGCAGCAGGTGCTGCTACTTAGAACCAAGAAAAATGAATATAGCCATTAATGTTGCTTCTGGGTACAATTTTATTTTATAAGATAATTAAAATTTTAAGTAAGGCTTTTTATCAGAATATTGAAGCACATGTACACATACATATATATACACAAATGGGTAGGTTAGAAAAATAAAAAGAAGTGTGACTAATGAACCAAAAATGAAGTTCATATATTCTTGATACATTAGTGGTTTCTGGGCTCAATTAGTGTCTATAAAATGTAATATGATTTTAAATAACTTCTAATATCATGATTGTAGAAATTAAGTATATATTTTAAAGCAGTTGTAACATAAGTTTGAAGTTTATTTTCAAAGAAACACTGGATGTGAAACTGTAAATATATATATGTACATATCATAAGATATATGTACATTATGCAGCATGCTGCTTGAAAAAAATTATTCCCACAAAGGAAATAATGTATTTGATGTTTTTGCTTTAAAATTCTAAAATTAATAGTTCATAACTATCCCTATTTTATAGTAAAGGATTTTTAAATACCTGAAATTAAAAAAATTTACATAATAAATATTTTTAAGAACTTTAAACTCAAAGAAAATTGTTGACAGATGATCAGAATGGTTGACAAACCAAATTTAGGTGCTAAAAATTCTTTTTATATATATATATTTATTATTTTAGTTTTCGGCGGACACAACATCTTCTTTTGTATGTGGTGCTGAGGATCGAACCCGGGCCACACGCATGCCAGGCAAGCAGCTACCGCTTGAGCCACATCCCCAGCCCAATAAAAATTCTTGCACACACAAAAAAGAGAATTCTAGAAATAAAAGAAACTTCTCAGAAGAAAATTCTTGATTTGCAAAATGTGATAAAATTATAAAAATACTTCTAATGTAATGCAGTCCATAATTGATATGTAAATATGTAATATGTAAATGATTGATTAGGCAATACTCATGAATCTCATTTTATGTTTTCTCTTACTAAATCCTTTTCTATCAGTGTACCTAAAGTTTTAAAATTAAATGAACCTTACTTGAAAACTAAATTAATCTTGTATATATAACTGCCATTAATTTAGAATACTATGCTAATTACCTTTAATTATTTTATTGTCATGGAATGTTGGTAAAAATTTTTTCAATTATGAAAATAAGATAATTTTATGCTGGTAAAAATTGTTAAAGTTATCTAAACATATACTTCCATAAGCAGTTTTCCCCAAAAAATTCTGCTTTCCAAACTTTGAGTTCTTGTAAATAATTTAATTTTGAGGAAATAGAAAATCAAATGAAAGAAAGCCAAAGTTATATCAAGACACTTAAGATAGATTTAATAGCTTAAACGTTTGACATAGTAATCATTTGTGAAAATTAAGATTTAATATTAATAAAATCTTAATTTGATTATTGTTAGAATAATTTTTTCACAGTAAAAGAGGATTTTGTCGTAGATTCTTCATACCAAATAAAACTTAAAAAGGAATAAACTGATCTCTTTTTAGAAGAGAAAAACTGTACATATACATATGCTGTACACTAAACTATTTAAATGCTTAAAAACTGTTCATTATATATCAATCTACAATAAAGTTTTCAACTTCAGCTCCCTTAATTCTTACTAGAAATGCAATATGTTTGAATTATTCTAGTTCAGCATTCGAAAAATATCTATGGTCAAAATAAAAATAAGTATTGAACATATAGTGTCATTTTATTTTCTTCAAATTAACTAGTCAGGAGTAAAATGGCAATTAATTATCTTTGTGAAACAGAAATTCTTAGAAAAGTGAATATTACTTCATTCATTTTCTGACACAATAATAAAAAGGAAAATATTGTTCATAGCAATTACTCTGAGAGGAACTAGAAAAAACTTCAAATTCATTTCTGAAGTACATTAATAAAAGAAATTTGTTTTATTTACATTTTCAGCTATTCAAAACTTGTACTTTTTGCCTTGTTAATGAATTATCAGAAAACAAAATTATCAGAAAACAAAATTAGTTTTAAAGGAAAAAGAAAAAGTAATAAGAAAGGAAACTGCAAGAAGTATCTCCCCTCCTCCACTGTTCTACTAAGGTCCTGTTGGCTAACACCAAGATGTGCTTTGCCTGTGTATGACATTTATAAATGACATAATTAA